TTCCAGTGCCCAAACACCCTCTGGAGTCTTGGAATGAATTACGAAAATGCTGTGTCACCGGTTTTTCTCAGGAGATTGAGTCAAGTTCACTTTGTTGCAAGGGCAATGCAGTGTCACCGAGATTCCCCCCCCCCGCCACCGAGTCAAGTTCACTTTGTTGCAAGGGCAGTGCAGTGTCACCGAGATTCCCCCCCCCGCCACTGAAGATTTTATAGCTGTTAGTGCAGCACCTAATGTGCTAGCAGAGGAATTATCAAATGCTTGATTGGTGGACCGGTGCATTTTGTGCACTGAACATAGAGGTACAGCCAGAGCATGACTGCACGTTATGTGCTGCCTTTTATGCTTGATTCCTCTTACTGGATTTAAGCTCAACTTTCCTTAATATTATCCCATGTTAGCAGTTTTACAGTTTCTTCAAGGATGGAAAGAGTTTCCATACATAGGTGTCTTTACATGTCATGTAGAAGCTGGTGTATGCCATGTGTGTTCTACTGCCCTTCAGGTAACTAATGGAGCAGAGAGAGTAGTCATAGCAGAAACAGAAAGAGGCTTATGCTGAAGAATTTATCAAGCCAGTTGCAAGTTTCAGATGAAAATATGGATAAAGAGACATAGATGAAGATTACTAACAGTGGGTTGTGTACTTTGTATTTTAATGACTACATAGAAAGACATTTTAAGGCAGGCTTTGTGTTTCTAAGTTGTTCTACATTTTACCTTAATGTTTTGCAAATTCACATGCAGATTTTGAGGGGAATGCTAAAGCATGCATGTAGAAGAATCCTGTGTAAGATAATGGTGAAAATTATGAAGCAGTGAAATTAGATTAATCTTGTACTTGCTACATGGTACAAACTTCAGTCAAAATCAGTATGTGGAATGACTAAACATATAATGGGCCAAAATATGAAGAAAGTTCTAATTAAAGCAGACTGAATCTGTCTTGCATGCTCTGAGTACTCATGCACATGAGGAAGGAGAGGGAAGGAAGGTAGGCTTTAGATGAAAGGATTAGAAGCATGCATTGTTCCTATATATGCAGCTTTAATCCAGTGTCAGGATGGCATTATGGACTGACTGATGATGATGATAGAATGAGGTAAGTGCTTATCTTGCTAATTTATCTGTAAATGTTATGGTAAGATGACCTTACTAAGGCAAGAGCTTCCTTAAATCCTGTTCCATATGTGCATGGAGAGACTGGGAACACTTTAGCAAGAGGTACCTTGTTCACATCTTTTGGTGTCAAGATGTTCCTGCCTGCTGGAAACACAGCCAGCTTTAAGCCAGTGAAGTTATATTGGTGTTATGCTACTGTGAGGAAGAGGATTTAATATAAGGACTCTTAAGTAAATTAAGAGTTGTTAAATACCTTGTGTGATGAAAGGAGAAAGAAGTAACTTGAACACAGTGTTGTAAACTGAATTTTGAAATTTTCTTCTGTATGGAAAACATAAGTTTTTTCTATCTTGAAGTTCAGTGCTAGCTTAAAAGTGGTTTGAGTGGATAAAGAGAGTAATTAATCGAAGGAAGTAGTCTTGTGGGCAGAGAGGAAGTGAGAAAAGATGCAATGCAACTTTCAGGCTAGTCTGCTATTCATAGTGTCAGCAGAGCCTAAGGGGAAAAAACCATGTGGGACAGCTTAGGCATTCAGTCATTATGTAAGCAAGCAGCTGTGTTCAGACACCCTCCCTGGCACCACGTGCCTGAGAACCTGACGTACACCACTCCTCACATGGAGAACAGAAAGAAAAGCAAAACTGTGTTGTCTGTTGAAACTGGCAGCTCTTCATGGCATGTCCCAGTGCGTGTCACATTGCTGGGGAAAGGGAGGCCCTAAGACTCCTCAATTTGAGTGACTTGGGGCACAAAATCGGGAGAAAACAAAGGGCATAGACGCCCTGCTGGTTCAAGATCCTAACTCCACAATACTAAATTCAGCTTGAAGAGACTTCACCTGTTTTGGCTGAGGTTGCCAATTTTAGCTAGTCATATGTAATGTACTACTTGTTCTCTTTTGTGTTCAAGTGGACTGAGCAGTTTGAATTGTGCTTTCCTAATTCCCACACCTATGGGAAAGACAACTGAAACAGGCTCTCCAATCTTTAAGCTCGTTTTAGGTAATCTCATCCCTTTTCTCTCCCCTCCCCTAACATGCCTATGTTTCACAGGAGGGGGAAGTGGTACTGTCAGGTTTCTCAACTCTTGGGGCTGTTGGAAAGGCACCTGGCCTTTATCTCAAAATTTGCACATGAAAAACTTCATGTTTTGGCATTTCTGTTCCCATGTATGCCAAAGTGAGTTAGGATGCCCAAACCACTCCAACACTGCAGTGGCATAAACCCTGAGAGGCATTTTGAATCATCAGAGAGGTAGTAGGAACTCTTCCCTCTGTCACATTTCCTTGGGTTCTCCTCAGCCAAGGTGTCCTGAACCCTGCTGTATTAACACTTCACTGATCCTCAATGGATCTAATGATCCATGAACCCATATTTGAGACATCACAGGCCCAGCTAGACTGTGTCCTGCCTCCTGCAAAACTTGGATAACCCAACAAATAGAAGTCTCAGCCATCCCAAGACTCAAATAAAGACCAAAAAACTCACAGACTCACTTCTAAGAATCAAAACCGTCAACTTTATAACAACTGTGATAATCCATCCAGGTAAAATCTTAGCCCATTTGTATTTAACACATACGGACTACATGCATCAAATACCATAGAGCAAGATCAGGTAAGTGACTTAACATGATTTTGTGCCCAGAATATTAAGATGATTTTTTGCCTGCAGTGTTGTGATTAGCAGTATATTATGCACAGTCATGAAGGATGAAAACTCCCAAAGAATATAGAATACAGCTATTGAAGAAATGTGACCGGTTTGGTGTTGTCTGCCAAACACAGCAAAACAATCTGATCCAACATATACTTAGAGATTCTGTGTGATTTTGAAATTATTGAACACTTTAGTGAAACAAATCTGTTTGGATTCTATAGAACAGAATTTCAAGGTCAGGTATCTTCTTTGTTCCCTTTTCTCCAAGCTCACTTTCTCAGCCTCCCAGGCCAAGTGTAATGCTTTCCCACTTTATGGCACAAGAGACTGTTTCACAGTGTTAGGAATACGACTGGCATAATAGTCATAATTTCTCAAAGTGGCAAGGACCCCAGCTGAATTCATGTGTTTCACTTCCTTGTTGTACTGAAAAGCATTTCCACGGATATCAGTTAACTTGCCTACAAAAAACCAAAAGAAAAATAAACAATATTCCAGAAAATAAGAGTTGGAGAGAGATAATCTATTTTATTAGTTCAAGTGATGTAACTAAAAAAATCAATCTTTGGTGTACACATGCCTGTCTTCACATGTGAAATACCTTTGCTTTCACAGGTGAAATATCTTTGCTTCCAGTGTAAGTGCAACAGGTTTTTTACTGATTGATATAACTAATAGTTTTATTTTCTTTCAGCAATACTTAAATTCCTTCTGTTTCAGAAAAAGGAAAACAACATTTCTGTTTTATGGATTAATTAAAATGCTTCCTGAGTAGCTTTCACATTGACAGTTGACAAGAAGAAAAGAAAAATCCTCAGTTCCAGTAAAAGCCAAGGTAAGTCTATACAACAAACTCTAACATAATATAGAAATGCCTCAGCTGGTTTTGAATGAGTTTCTAGAAATCACTTAGCAAGAGCAACACACAGATCTTTATGCAAGCTAATTTAACCAGGAGATACCTACTTAACAAGGAGGCTAAATACAGCACTGTGCTGCCCCAGATTGGCTGAGTTTTTTGTGCTTGAGCTAACCTGTTTAAAGCTATCCCAGTTACTAACACTAGAGACTGGGGAGGAGTTAAATAGTGTCATTATGAAGCCTGTTATCCTTGCTTGAAAGAATTTAAGAGATCAAACCCCATAATTTTAGCATATAATGGTAAAAGGTCTATCAATGTGAGCAGCAGAAAATGTATAATAATAGTAATAATATTACCAAATTACATGAATGACTCAATTTTGTATTTTGTACATCTGAGGAACAACTGCATGATTTGGCCTATTTTTGTTGTTTTAAAGAATTCCATGTCCACATATTACATAATATGTTACTAATAATAAACTACTATATCCAGTTAGTAGGACAGCATGATTTTACTGTGAGATAGTAGCCAACAGAAAAAAAAGGCATTTGTTTTGAAAAAATTTTAAAACTATGCCCAAAATTTGGGGATTTGGCTTTTTCAAATTTTTTTTACAGTATTTACTCTATTAGTCCAGGGCAAAACAGATCACATCATGCTTTCCAGAGCATAATGTGCTTGTCCCTTTGGAATTACTGCTGACTTCAGAGGGCTCAAAGCTCTTAGTGAATCACAACTATTAAAAATACATATATATTGTAAGTTTTTTTGACAAAAGGCATGTTTGGAAATTCTTTTTTTTTCCCTGTGAGAGGTATAAATAACTTTTAATTAATTCAGTTTCACTTGGAATTTTGAATGCTGTTAACTTACCTCCCACAGCATGTAGAATAGCTTCGGGTGCACATGTATCCCATTTTTTGCATCCAGGACTGGCAAATACATAAGCAGATGCCTTGCCTTCTATAAGTTGAATGACCTGTTATGAATAGAGAGTGGCAATCATTGCAAAGGATCTAGGCATTTAGAAATGGTTAGAAATAACACCAAGAAACAGGTATTAGATCAGTTTACTCCTTTCTGATTTTACAAGAAATTGTATTCAGATTTAGAAACTATATTACCATCCTCAGTTCGATAGTTTTGATTGTTATAAATACAGTGTATAGGAAGAAAATCTGCTCTTAGTTTCAGAAACATGAATTCCTCTGTTGTGCAGGTATTAAAATAAGTGGATACTATATACATGTCGAATTAGTGCCATTTTGGGGCTTGCACATGTTGGAGAAGAGAGATCGGACGGTCTGGATTTGACAGCTATGAAAAAACTAAGCTTTAAAACCTGTAGCAAATGAGTGTCCCCTGCATGCAGAGGTGTTTTGCAAAGGAAACATCACATGTGCTATTGTTTTTAGCCTTTCATACCTGCTGCTGGATAATTGCAACAAAAACTGTATTAACAAGAACAGGAGGACATGCCTAATAACTGATTTAAATTAAACTGAATTCTCATTTAATATTCTGGTCTTACAACTTTTTATTTTCTCCCCTAGAAAGATAATACTGTGGAAGACAGACCTCAACTGTGACCAGCACAAACACTGCTACTCTTATACCTATACCAAATTATCTCTACCTCACAGCAGACTGAATGCTGAGAAGTTGTGCTGGGGAAGAACGAGGAAGTCCCCTGTACATTCATGCAAATAAGAAAATAATTTCTTTAAAAAGTTTTTTTCTTTTTTCCCCACACAAGCCACTTCTCAGTAAAAACAAAAGATTTTGAGTTTTCATACCTTGTTTCCTGCTCCTCCAACTCTGATGACACTATCTGGGTTCAAGGCACTGATACACTCATTTACCAGGGCACTGCTGTGGGAACGGGTGGTAACAATGATGTGTTTCCCAGCAGGTGCTTCTGTGAGCTGAAATCCAAAGGCACCCATGCCCAGGACTCCCCAGATTGTCCTGCCCAACACAGCATCAGCTCCTGCCTATAAGAAAGGTACACAGGTCCAGGTAATGGTTAATTATAGTGATCAGCATTTAAAGCACAAATGCAAAGGAGTACCTAGAGGCATCTTTGCATATCAGAAGGTAAATATTAATACTGGGCTATACATTTAAACAATGGTACTTAAAAAGAGCTACTCTAGAGCCTAGAGTGATAATGGGCTCTCTCCTTCTAGGACAATGACATCATTTACCCTTTTCTTATCTGTGACATTGTGGTGGTATATTTACATCCTGCCTCCAGTGACTGACTTTCTGTATTTCAGGCACCATCTGTAATTGAAGATATCTTGTCTTTATAAATACTTTGTCATACATATCACATAGAACATCATACGCATTACATCAGCTCAAGAGCTTTTTTTTTTCTTTAAACTCTAGTAACTTTCATTAATCAGGCTACATCATGAGCTTCCCCTCCTCTCCCTGATAATGAAAGAATCTCCAAATGTGTAAATACCTGGAGGATGGCCATCCTGGACTTGTACCTAAAACCTGGCCTGATACACTCTAACCCAGCTGCCAGTGACAGGTATGCTTGGCTTATTTAGGGCTGCAGATTTATGGCAGTTACCACACATCACAAATGCACCTATTGCATGGATTTACTAGACAATTTATAGCAGAAACTGCAAACCCACTGATCTGTACTTGTTTTAATTATGTACTTTATATATACTGTAGTTATAGTACAGTATATATGTAATCTATATTGTATTAGTGTATTACACAAGCCTCAGGATTCAGTATGGTTGTTAGCAGGTGCCTGAGATCCAGTTTCTGGAAACCAACATTTAAAATTGTATATACTTAATAAAAAACCCAACACCTTACATTACAACATTAACTTTCACTACACGCTGCTTTTCAGTTCAAAGTGTGCTAACTGATATGGCTTAGAAGTGGCAGTTAGAAATTACCTAATGCTTTTAAATAAATCAGTGATTTAATACCTCATAGTTGTAATATGGCTGGTTGATAACTCCTGCTATTGCTTTGCCTCCATAGGCAATTCCAATAAGAACCGTTACGTGGTCAAGGAGACCTGTACAGAAATAAGATGAATGTAATTATGCTTGAAACAGAGAAAGTATCTAAAACATAAACCTTCAGTAAGAGTCCACAAATTGATATGAAGGGTGGTATCTTAAAAATGCAAATACTAATCTGGATTTTTAGGTGTAATGGGTTGGTTGACATATTTTTCTAGTCATTTAGCCTTGAGGTCTGCTAAAAATTGGCCCAGATAAAGTTCTCTTAATAGAACTATGTTATAATTATCACATAATGAGAAAGAATTGTAAAGATACAACTAAACATCAGTGTATGATGTCATTCTTCTATAATTGTGGTAGGAATTCTTTAATGGTATTCACAGCTGGCAA